ATTTTTGACATTTCTCATTATATTTTCTGAGTATATATTGAATAGGTATGGTGAGAGAATGCACCTCTGCCTCACCCACTTTTGCACCTCGAACCAATCAATGTTTCACCAGCTGCTCTGATGGCTGCTTGTTGTTCATGATAAAAATTTTCAATTAAATGCACTAAATGCGCTGGAAACCCCATGAGTGGAGTAGGCAGTTTAAAAATAGTGTGATTTCTATGACAGACAGTTACAACTGGGTCAGGCACACCGATTAGTGATCCCAGAGTTGATTGAAACCATTTTGAAACATATTATTTCATTCATTCGTTTGACACCTTGTGGTAAAATTCCATTCATTCATATTTCAACTGGTTATATTATTCATCGACAACAATGAAACATTATTTCCAACTGGAATATTCTCGATTTACCCTTCATTTCTAAATAATACTATTTCTTATTGGACCGCGGCAAGTGAAAGCAGGAGCCTGTTGTTTTTCCTGCCTTCACACAAGGACTTGGGAAAACAGTTTTGTACACCACACACAAAAGTGTGCATTTATGGTGTTTACAAATATTGCTGATGCTTTTGAGTACTTTTCTAGAAAAATGAAGTTCTCATTCATCTTTGGACATCCCAGAGATTGAACTCCATATTTTAAGAATTAAATATAAAAAAATTTTTTAATGAAAATTGTAATAGTTATTAAAATTGTTTTTTTTTTCAGGCAGTCAGAGCTTCTACCTGAAGCATACAGATGACATTATCTGCCTTTGTATCAACCAACATCCAAAGTTTAAGAACGTGATCGCCACAGGGCAGATTGGGAACATCCCGTGTGTGCATGTATGGGATGCAGCAACCAAGGAAACATTATCCATCCTGCAGGGAGGCCACTCTAAGGGGATTTGCTCAGTTACTTTCTCCTGTACTGGCAAAAACCTGGTGACAGTTGGACTGGAAGATGAGCATAACCTAATTGTTTGGAGATGGCAGGATGGTAGGTCATGGCAAGATATTTCATAACAGCATGATGGAAGGTCATAGTAAAGTGATAGTAATGGCAAGGAGTAGTTCATGGGAGGGTAAAAGGTCATGGCATGGTTGTGGGTCACAACAAGGTTTTAGGTCAGGACTATTAAACTAAGTTTACTCAGGGGCCATTCCCGTGTGGGTTCCGGAGCCCCATTGTGGGGGAAAACATGAATAGACCCACTGCCACCCCAACAAGCATGTTGTAAGAGTTGACTAACTGGGGGCTTCCTTCAAAGTCGGAGTGCATCTGCCTAAGAGGCAAGAAACCAACAATCTACATACAAAAAAGTCAGATCTGTAAAACAAATGTACACGCAACACTCAGGTTCTGGAACAAGACTAAAGTTCAGAAGTGGATGAACAACCGGAACTCTCTGCTGGAGTTTACAGCCGGTGGATTCAAAGAAGAAGAAGAAGAAGACTCAGGGGCTAAAATGTTAAAACTGAAAATAGGGATCGTCACGGACTACAATACAGCTGGCAATCTTCCATGGGCCACTTCTGAGGCTTCTGTGGGCCGCCAGTTGAATAGCTTTGTTGTAGGTCACCCATTGTTAGTAGGTCATGGCAGGTTAGTAGATCACGACAAGGTAATATGGCTTATCAGAATGTTAGGTCACACGACTTTAGTCCCTCTATATAATGTGGCCACCTATTGCTAAATGTTTATAATTTATTATTAATTGTGAGTGACTAAAACAATTTATGTAAACCGTTACTCTATAAGTTATTTAATATTTGTTTCCATGAATTAGGAAGCAATTCAGAGAGTAACAACTGTGAAAACTCAGCTTCTAGAACTATTTATTGAGCTAAAAAAAAGACAGTGAAATTCATGCAAGAGCAAGGAAAGATATAAAACCAAACAAAAAGTTTATCAGCGAGCAAAAGCAACATTGCAAATATCTATTTCAAGCTATTGAAAGAACTAGAACAAGTGATAGAAAAGTGCATAATCTTCTAGAGATTAAAATTTAGTTTATACTGTCTAACATGGCTTCTGATTCTGTAACATTATCTACCTTATAGGTGCCAGGGTAGCCACTGCTGCTGGACACAACCAGAGAATCTTCCGAGCTGAATTCCGACCAGATTCCGACACACAGCTGGTCAGCATTGGAGTCAAGCATGTCAAGTTTTGGACAGTAGCTGGGGGTCAACTGATGGGCAAGCGAGGAATCCTGGCCAACTCTGGATCTGCTGGAGAAGCTAAAATGCAGACGATGTTGTCGTTAGCTTTTGGAGCTGTAAGTGAAAATAGCTGTTGCACGTGTATAAACCCAGGTGTTCTGGTTGCGCACTCTCAGACATTGTCAACAATTTCAGAAATGATTATGGCAGGGTGTTTTTTTATCCGGGTCAGCAAGCAGCACATTCATTTTGATCATACACATAAGAGTGCAGGAAATAAGAGAAATGCCTGGTCAAACTGGTAATAACAGTTATATGGCAAAGAAGATGGCGCTATATTGGACACATTTTGAGAATAAATCAGCAAAGAATTACCAAGCAGGCACTAAAATTGGTAATAAAGTGCAATAAGGAAGTGAGGACGCTCAAAAGAAACCCTAAAGCAGATGTTGATAAGAGAGGCCAAAGGTGCTGGACTGGATTCCATCCATGGTATTGAATTGACTGCACAAGATAGAAAGGAACAGAGAAATACCTTGTGAGCCCTATGTGTCATATAATGGCAGAACAGGACGATGAACGTAGGAGTGCATGGCTTGGGTGCTTCATGTTTACCATCGTCCTGGGGATTTACTGTAGGCTATGCTACATCTGGTTCAGAATATTAAATACTCTAGGCCTCACACACGTCAGCTATCCCACCTTCCATACAGGAAAGTATACTATCCCTCACAGCACAACAAGTGTTTCTGATTTACAGATTTGAGATCAACATCGTAACACATAGATCATATTCATAGGTGCTCCATCTCCTGCAGCAAATGTCTTAAGGTTTAGATGCTAATTCTACTTGTAATGCACTGATTATAAACTCATCGTTCTTCCTTGCCTGGTCCATGCGTAATTTCTCATTCACACATTCTTACACATTATTTCATCTAACCTCGTGTCTTTTATCAGCACTCATTTATAAATGGTCTTCAGAAATGTCTCCTTTGTCAAGTACGGGTGTTCCTGTAGCTATCACTTTTGTAGCCATTCATGTCCTCACACTCCTACATATCCCAGACAGTATTTCCACACGAGTCCCTGTAATGTTGATGGGATGATGCTTGGCATAAACTCATGCCACATTTGTTTCCACATTTCATACCAGAGAATAAACTCTCCCACACAAGGCAGAAAGTGTCTTCACATTTCATACCAGAGAATAAACTCTCCCACACAAGACAGAAAGTGTCTTCACATTCCATACCAGAGAATAAACTTTCCCACACAAGGCAGAAAGTGTGTTCACATTCCATACCAGAGAATAAACTTTCCCACACAAGACAGAAAGTGTCTTCACATTCCATACCAGAGAATAAACTTTCCTACACAAGGCAGAAAGTGTGTTCACATTCCATACCAGAGAATAAACTTTCCCACACAAGGCAGAAAGTGTGTTCACATTCCATACCAGAGAATAAACTTTCCCACACAAGGCAGAAAGTGTCTTCACATTCCATACCAGAGAATAAACTTTCCCACACAAGACAGAAAGTGTCTTCACATTCCATACCAGAGAATAAACTTTCCTACACAAGACAGAAAGTGTCTTCACATTCCATACCAGAGAATAAACTTTCCCACACAAGACAGAAAGTGTCTTCACATTCCATACCAGAGAATAAACTTTCCTACACAAGGCAGAAAGTGTCTTCACATTCCATACCAGAGAATAAACTCTCCCACACAAGACAGAAAGTGTCTTCACATTCCAAACCAGAGAATAAACTCTCCCACACAAGACAGAAAGTGTCTTCACATTCCATACCAGAGAATAAACTCTCCCACACAAGGCAGAAAGTGTCTTCACATTCCATACCAAAGAATAAACTTTCCTACACAAGGCAGAAGGTGTCTTCACATTCCATACCAGAGAATAAACTCTCCCACACAAGACAGAAAGTGTCTTCACATTCCATACCAGAGAATAAACTCTCCCACACAAGGCAGAAAGTGTCTTCACATTCCATACCAGAGAATAAACTTTCCTACACAAGGCAGAAAGTGTCTTCACATTTCATACCAGAGAATAAACTTTCCTACACAAGGCAGAAAGTGTCTTTACATTTCATAGCAAAGAATAAACTCTCCCACACAAGGCAGAAAATGTCTTCACATTTCATACCAGAGAATAAACTTTCCTACACAAGGCAGAAAGTGTCTTCACATTCCATACCAGAGAATAAACTCTCCCACACAAGGCAGAAGGTGTCTTCACATTTCATACCAGAGAATAAACTTTCCTACACAAGGCAGAAGGTGTCTTCACATTTCATACCAGAGAATAAACTCTCCCACACAAGGCAGAAGGTGTCTTCACATTTCATACCAGAGAATAAACTTTCCTACACAAGACAGAAAGTGTCTTCACATTCCATACCAGAGAATAAACTTTCCTACACAAGGCAGAAAGTGTCTTCACATTCCATACCAGAGAATAAACTCTCCCACACAAGGCAGAAGGTGTCTTCACATTTCATACCAGAGAATAAACTTTCCTACACAAGGCAGAAGGTGTCTTCACATTTCATACCAGAGAATAAACTTTCCTACACAAGGCAGAAAGTGTCTTCACATTTCAAACAAGTGAATAAACTACCCAATAAAGGCAAACTATCTCTCATTTCACACAATGCTGTATGCTACACACAAGCCAATAGGCTGCTTCAAAATAATTAAAATTACCTAGAGTAAAAAACTATTGACTTTTTATTTTCAATTGCTTCTTATATTATCAACAAATATTTTTGTCATTGTTAAAACATTTTCAGTAAAAAAAATTTTTGTATGTTCACTTCAGAACAATGTGACATATACTGGTGCCATGAGTGGAGACGTATACGTCTGGCAGGAGTCAAATCTATTACGTATTGTGCAGAAAGCTCACACAGGACCTGTATTTGCTATGTTTACCACATTACGAGATGGTCTCATCGTCACTGGAGGCAAAGAAATGCCGTAAGGTTTACTCAGATCAGTAGTCGTAAACTGGTTTGTAAAATAGTCTAGTCTTTGTAATAATTCTTTTTTTTTTCTTTTGTTGTCTCGATTACCAGGTGGTTTTTTGTATTTGTCTTGCACTTCTCTGGTAACTTGGGGATTAGATTTGTTCAACTTTTTGTAGACTTCAGATATACCATTTATTCATCTCTTTCTTGGTCTTCACCTAACCTTCCTCCCATTTGTTCTGATGTAAAAAGTCTCATATGCAGTTTGGTCTGGTTGCATTCTCACTAGATGGCTGAACCATTTCATTCTTTGTATGTCAATATAATCCAGACATGGTCTTATTCTAACTTTCTCTCTAATGCTGGTATTCATAACCCTGTCTCATCTAGTGGTGTTAGTGACCTTACAGAGACAGCGCATTTCACATGTAGTTATTTTCTGTTCTAGTGCCCTATTCATTGTCCATGTTTTTCACTGATAACATAAAGTAGAGATAAAATGCTATTGATCATTGGCTGTTTTGCTGGAAGGGAGACATTTGGGTGTCTAAGCAGTGGGGCTAACTGGTAGGTGACAGCATTTGCCTTCTGTACTCTGGCTTCTATCTCTCTGTCGAGTCTACCATGAGTCTAACCGGGACCTTCCGCCGGAATTCACAGCCGGCGAACGAAGAAGAAGAAGAAGACAAAGAACATTCATATTATTATGTTTTATACCTATTCCTATTACACAAGTTTTCACGGGTTTTTTTTCTCATATCATACTTTGTGCAGGTTTGATGTAAGGAGTCAATATCATGTTGTCAATTCTGTGTTTGTTTCATGTTACAATTCTTTGTTTTTATTTAAGATAATATGTTTCATTTGTTTTTTTTTTATTCGTGTATTTGAATAACTGTGATATAGTCCCTTAGTACGGCAGTTGCCAGTTAGCTAACACCTTTAAACCCCTTTTGTTTTAATAGGTCAGCCATGCTTTTTATTAGTCATACTGACAAACTTTTTTTATGGTTTATAAATATTAGAATCGCAAAATGGATTGCATTCTAAAGTTGAGGGTTTTTATAAATGACAGGTTTGTTCTGTGGACCTACCCCGTTCCCCCCCCCCCCCTCCTCCCCTCCCCTACCCCCTCCTCCATCAGATGGAAAGCACTGTCTTAGTAGCCGATTCTTCCGTTTTTTTTCAAATTGCTAAAAGGCTTCTCCACTTAGAGTGGCTTCAGTAGATGAAATTGTAAGTCCAGATGTGGCTTGAATTCCATTGCAGTTTTTCTGCAAGTCTCTTCTCATAATCTGTATGTTGACATGGGGGGGGGGGGGGGGGGGGGGGGGGGGGGGGGGGGGGGGGGGTGGGGGGGGGGGGGGGGGGGGGGGGGGGGGGGGGGTGGGGGGGGGGGGGGGGGGGGGGGGGGGGGGGGGGGGGGGGGGGGGGGGGGGGGGGGGGGGGGCCCTGATGTCATTAAATGCTGACATCCTGTTTCAGGTCGAAGGATAATGGTCCAGTGAAGCTGTGGGACCAGGAGATGAAAAGGTGCAAGGCTTTCCCATTCAAAGAAAGTGGGTCAACAGCAGACGTTGTCAAGTCTGTTTGCAGAGCCAAGGTAGTATGACAAGTGATATTGCTTATGTTGTTTAAGCTATTAATATTATTTATTCAGATCTTACTTTTTTCTTTAAATTCAAATTTTTTTTTAAATGATGGACTAGTGTTTATTTCTGGATCTAAGCAAAAAGGGACCTGTCAGTCTACCACAGAATCACAGAGTGCCAAATTGCATGACCACTTCAATACGTTTTTCTCACCATGTGGGTTCCAGGGCCCCATTTGGAGGGGGGGGGGAGAAATGACCCACTGTCCCTAACAAGCATGTCTTAAAATATGACTTATTAGGAATTTACTGAAATGGGATTTTTTTGGGGTCGAAAGCCTAGCTGCGATTTAGCATGCCAGCCATCCCCCAACCCTTTCATTCAGTAAAATCCTTGAAATTCTTTTTTAAAATTTTGTTTAAAAGAGAAGCATTGTCATATTTTTCTGAAACTTTACCCTAGGAAACTAGAGGTAGAAGAAGAAGAAGCAGAAGAAATTTGAAGTGCTGTTTAGTTTTTGTTTTAAAAACATCCAGGGCAGGGTGGGATTGAAGCCTGTGATCACCAAGCAATCACTATATACATTTTTTATTAGCATGCTAGCTTTTTACATCATTGTGACCCCCAAGTCACTAAACTTGGGAGAAGTGTCATGTTTAAAATCATTATTTTGCACATTTTTTTTTAAATTTCTTTTTGTATGAAGGCAGGTAATCACTAATTACAAATGGAGCAAAGAAACAACTGCTTTTTATCCTTTTGACCAAGAACATGTGACACAACCAAAGTGGCAAAGTGAAAATAAGTTTATTGTGTCATCACAATGAAAAAAATTCCATTTGTTTCACCCCAGATAATAGCTTTTAAAAAACAAAAACAAATTGTGAATCTAATCAAATCCACCCGTCTACACACTGTGCAGTTGCAACCAGTACCAAAGCTATTGTAAAGGCATATTGGCCACCGCCCAGAGAGGCTGTGTCATCCAAAACTTAGATAAACCAGAAAACCGACTTCCTCTTGGTGACGGGGTTAACAGTGAGCACAGAAGAAGAAAAAAATCCACTTGTTTATTGTCATTTGTCTCGCCAGTCAGTGCAGACGCTCATGGTTTGTTGATTTACTCCATTTTCCTGTGAAGCCTGTGGCTTCAGTAACTATAATGTTGGTTTTTTTTTTTTTACATTATTAATTTTTTTAATTCAGGGCAAGATTCTGGTGGGGACAAAGGAGAACAGTATTCTAGAAATATCAGAGAAGACAGGGACAGTCCAAGTTATTGTGGCTGGACATGGGGAGGGGGAGGTATGGGGTCTGGACCAGCACCCAACCACGTCCAGATGTATCACTGCTAGCTATGATGGGACAGTGCGGCTATGGGACATTCCATCAAAGGTAAGCTAATCTGTGTTGCGATATTGCTGCCCATGTTGTCATATGAAGCAGTCATTGAAATTAACACTACAAATTTTTAAAAAAACTATGCTTCTGAATGTGAACATCGCAGATTTCCCATTTGGATTTCCAGGGTCCCATTTTAGGATGAGGAAAAAAGTATAAACCTACTCTTCCTCTTAAAAGCATGTCCTAAAATGTGGATAATTAGGGCTTTGTTGAAGTGGAATGTGTTTGGATGAAAAGCACTTGTCACAGCCTAGCTGTAAACCACAACATAATATGCCAACTTCTCTTGTAGGGGCAAACATCACAGAAGAAGAAGAACATCGAGAGAAAACATTCTTTGAATTTTGTGGGTAAAGAAGAAGAAAATACAGGCATCTTTTGTCTGAACAAACCTTAAAACAAGGCTCATAAAAAGCATCATGCCTTAGAAACTTCTTCTTCTTCTTCTTCTCTTCCACCTTTTACCTCATCGAAGTTTCGGGGAGAGATGTAATGTTCGTTGATGAGCTATGTCAAGAGCACTATTAAGACTGATGTTCATTTCTGTAAGGCTGTTCTTAATGCCATCACTCCATCTTTTCCGAGGTCTTCCACTCGCTCTATACCCGTTGTAACGTTTTAGTGTGGCTCGCTGTGGCGGATAGTACCAGGGCATTCTTGTTAGGTGTCCAAACTACTTCATTTGTTGTTCTTTGATGACCTGTAAGACTGACTTTATTCCTAGCATTCGTCTGATTTCATGATTTCGTATTCTGTCTTTCCTTGAAACTCCTGCAGCTCTTCTAAGGCATTTCATCCCTGTTGTCACAATTTTATGTTCATTGGAGGATGTTAGTGTCCACGTTTGGCATTGATAGCATAGTGTTGGCCAAAAAATAGTTCTGATAAGGTTCCCTTTAGTACTCCGGGGTATCTGCTTGTGTGCCTGGGAAACTGAAGTACTTAATCTAGCTAAACATCACAGATTTAGAATAGTAGTGTAAGGAATGGGTCTTGGAAGAACACGCAGGGGTTGGACATAGGACAAGAAGAAAGACATGGGACATTAGAAGCAATATGAGCCTGAATATTCATGTGGCATAGGGGTTGGCCAGGGGACCAAGGTTTTCTAGTGGGCCCTAAAGGGAGTTATTCTGCAAAGAACCAGCTAAATGATGACGTGAGAACTGAGATCAAAGCTGACAGTGCAGCATTGAGATGGCTTTGTAAGACCAGTAATTATAGTGATCATTGTCTCTGACTATCTGTACAGACTCCTGAAAGTTTATAATTGAAGTGATCATTGTCTCTGACTATCTGTACAGACTCCTGAAAGTTTATAATTGAAGTGATCATTGTCTCTGACTATCTGTACAGACTCCTGAAAGTTTATAATTGAAGTGATCATTGTCTCTGACTATCTGTACAGACTCCTGAAAGTTTATAATTGAAGTGATCATTGTCTCTGACTATCTATACAGACTCCTGAAAGTTCATAATTGAAGTGATCATTGTCTCTGACTATCTGTACAGACTCCTGAAAGTTTATAATTGAAGTGATCATTGTCTCTGACTATCTGTACAGACTCCTGAAAGTTCATAATTGAAGTGATCATTGTCTCTGACTATCTGTACAGACTCCTGAAAGTTTATAATTGAAGTTATCATTGTCTCTGACTATCTGTACAGACTCCTGAAAGTTTATAATTGAAGTGATCATTGTCTCTGACTATCTATACAGACTCCTGAAAGTTCATAATTGAAGTGATCATTGTCTCTGACTATCTGTACAGACTCCTGAAAGTTTACAATTGAAGTGATCATTGTCTCTGACTATCTGTACAGACTCCTGAAAGTTCATAATTGAAGTGATCATTGTCTCTGACTATCTGTACAGACTCCTGAAAGTTTATAATTGAAGTGATCATTGTCTCTGACTATCTGTACAGACTCCTAAAAGTTCATAATTGAAGTGATCATTGTCACTGACTATCTGTACAGACTCCTTAAAGTTTATAATTGAAGTGATCATTGTCTCTGACTATCTGTACAGACTCCTGAAAGTTTATAATTGAAGTGATCATTGTCTCTGACTATCTGTACAGACTCCTGAAAGTCTATAATTGAAGTCCAACTCAGAGGTGGCGGCCACTCATAGAGGACAGGCTGCCGGGACATTGACCTGGCCGGCTAGAAATGTGTGAAACTAGGAGAATTGATATGATATCTTCAAAGACACCTCTCATTTAATATGGTGGTGGGGGGGGGGGGGGGGGGGGGGGGGGGGGGGGGGGGTATATTGGAGGCATTAAATAACATTTTGATGCATGGAGACAAGTCTCTAAATAGTTTCTTTATCATGCTGCTGGAGTGGGCTGTGGAGAAAGTTAACCAGCCCACAACAGGATCAATCAGAATCCATACTCTTTATGCTGTACAAGACTAAGTTTTTATGTGATTGCCACTAATATTGACAAATTAAGTAAATATCCCTTTTCACGCCTTTAGGCACATCGGGCATATGGGAAGAGCACCCCATATTTTTTCAGACCAATAGGCACAAGGTGGGTAATGTGGTCAGCATTGCGTCGGCCATCTTTACTTCCCCAGGACATCCATCCTGGTTCCCATTTTAGGCTGGGTCGACCTGCAACGCCCATGATAAAAATCCACACAGCGAGCAGTGGGTTTCAATTAGTCCCTAGTATTAGTAACATTGATTTTTATTCAGAAGTACTCATACTCTGTAGGTAATCGAAATCCCAGGTCTGCAAGCTGCCTCCTGATGGCTTCTTAAAACATAGCCAGTGATGATTGATAGGCTCAATATACAGAAGTGAGGTTAAACAGTCATAAGCATTTCTTGGGTGAGCCCAGTACTAGAGCACCATTTTTTGGCTCTGCATTTACAGAAGCCTACTTAGATGGTAGGGAAAGGTCATGTGATGCCCCTGCCTTCTCTTGAGGACTGACCAGCTTTTCATGGTTGCTCTGGACTGGCATGGAGGGAGGGGAAGACGGGGGAGGATGATGCCTCACCTGTGATCTAGGAAACAAAGATAACCACACAAAACTAACTGGGAAGGCTAATCCAGGCAACAAATACCTACAGAAGCTGGATGTCTCAGCTGAAAGCCACAAAAATCGCAGCCATGTTGTAAATGGGCACAACGCATTTACATCTTCAGATGAACTCAAAAGAAGAAACAGATTCTTTATTATATGTGTATGTGTAGATACTCATGTTATCTGCATAAGCTGAATGGAATGTTGTGTTTGTGTTGACAATAATTTACATTCATATTTATGTTCATCTCATTTAGTCATTGGTGGCCAAGCTGAACGTTACCGCAGCCCGGTCTGTGGCCTTCAGTCCTGATGGGGAGCTGATCGCTGTGGGCCTGAAGAGCGGGGAGTTCCTGGTTCTGACAACCACTGGCCTGAAACTCTGGGGCAGGAAGAGGGACAGGGCCACAGCTGTGACCAGTATTAGGTAACTCACAAAGATCTACTTCTTCTTAGCATTGACCGGCTGTGACCTCCGGTGGAATGTTCTGGATGTTTGTCCATTTGTGGACTTTGGTCTTGTTCCAGAACTTGAGTTTTGCATGCATATCCATTTTACAGATCTGGCTTATTTGTATGCAGACTGTTGGTTCTTCACCTCTCAGACAGATGCACAGCAGCATCGAAGGAAATGCCATTAATGAATTACCTTGTGCAACATGCTTTTTAGAGAGGCAGTGGATCTATTCGTTTGTCCCCCAGAATTGGACCCCTGTACCCACATGGGAAACTAACAAATATAATTCGTTATTTAGTTATCCCCACATGGGAAACTAACAAATATAATTCGTTATTTAGTTATCCCCACATGGGAAACTAACAAATATAATTCGTTATTTAGTTATCCCCACATGGGAAACTAACAAATATAATTCGTTATTTAGTTATCCCCACATGGGAAACTAACAAATATAATTCGTTATTTAGTTATCCCCACATGGGAAACTAACAAATATAATTTGTTATTTAGTTATCCCCACATGGGAAACTAACAAATATAATTCGTTATTTAGTTATCCCCACATGGGAAACTAACAAATTTAATTCGTTATTTAGTTATCCCCGCATGGGTTCAGGGACCCAGTTGGGGAGGGGGGGGGAGGGGAAGAAAAGAATAGACCCACTACCCTTTAACCATCTTGTCGTGAAAAGTGACTAGTGAAGCTTTGGCTGACATGGAATGTGTGTGGCCAAGAGCCGCAGATATTACAGAGTGTCTGTAAACCACAACACAATATGTCAACCACCCTTGACATCATGGTGAAGGCTTTTAGGTGAAGGCCTTTTATCTTTATTGAGTGTTGAGCTAAGAACTGACCTCACAGCACTCAGGACAATCACATAAGCACTCCATTCTTACCTTCAGCAGCGAACAAAGAGTTCCAATTCTGATGGTCCCTGTAGCATTTTGATTATATGTTCATCTTGCTTTTCCTCTGAGTGTAGACTATCGACCAGATCCCCCGGTCACTTCTAGCTGTGCCATTCTCTACAGACTATAATGATCTATTTGTACCTTGAATTATCATTTCTTTCCCTCTGTAACATGATTTGTGTTCGACTGAGCAGTCGTGGTGATCATGTGGTGGTGATGTTGTGGTGATCATGTGGTGGTGATGTTGTGGTGATCATGTGGTGGTGATGTTGTGGTGGTGATGTGGTGGTGATGTTGTGGTGGTGTGGTGTGGTGATGTGGTGGTGATGGTGATGTAGTCAATCTGTTTACCTTGTACTTTGAGGTTGTCGATTTATTTTGAAACTGTGTCACAAGTGCACTTTACTGGTAATCTGTGGGGTTATCTTTGCAGCTGTTGAGTTTGTGCTTACAGAAATGATTTCAGCAGGTGGCCACTATCTCTTCCTAGACAGACCAAACCATGTGAGGTCTTCTTCTTCTTCTTAGCATTCATCAGCCTGGCCAAAAACTCTAGCCAAAAGTTCTGGTT